CTCTAAAACTGTAACTGGCTTAGAACCACTTAAAGTTCTCATTGATTCTGTCAAATACCTCAGTGTACATGCACAGGAGGCTTAAAAACGGCTATACCATTGTTTTCTGCAAGCTATAAAATCCCCAGTGGGGCTTGTAGGTTCCAGAAGCTTTCTGTAGCCCTGCAGATGGTCGACACACAGAGCCTGTCAGCAAACAGACGTGGGTCTGACCCCAGTCAAAGGCCCTTAACCCAAATCTGCCCATTACCTCCAATCAGGCCTGACCGATCAATACCGGCTATCCCTGAGGAGCCACGCCACGCTGACATTTGTCTGAGTGTTTTCATTCTCTTGTGACAGGAGATGAACATTATCTGTGACGTCACAGCTGAGCCAACCACGCACAACACTTTTCAAAACCTATTGGCTTTCTACATAACATCCCGTGTATGCAAACATCATTTCAAGATGTTTTGTGAACACTGATGCCCTTCACTGGGGCTCAATAGAAGCAGGTGGCCTCTTTTTGGCCATTGAGAGGAAGGAAGGAGGGCGAGGTCAGCGGCAACAGAGAGTGGACGGGTCACCTACATGGAAATAGGAGCACCCCTGTGGCGAGCAGATAAAAGGACGTGCACCCATCCAGAACTGTCCTTTACATGGAAGGGAGCAGCAGTCTGACTCAAGGCTCAACAGCCACCAGTGGGGGTGGACCGGCCTTTTTTCAGATAACGCCTTTCAAACAGCGCAGACTTCCGCAAGAAGCCCAAGGTCTGATAGCGGAACATGAGCCTACTTTTCAACAATGCACCACTTGTGCTTTTTTTGTGTGTGTGTGGCACTATAAGTAGTTTTTAACTGACAAGGCTTTGTATGTTTGTTTACCTACACAGTGTTTTATCACAGAACAGATACAAAGGTTGACCAGGGGGGGCATCCTGCTCGGGGACGGCGCCGGGTTCAATCCCAGCAGTCTCAACAGAAAGCTTTGATCACAAACCACATCACACAAAGACTGAAGATTGTATATTTCAGTGGGTGGGATCCAGGTCTAACCCTAACCCTAAATATGACAGATCAGATTCCATACATTTAACCTTTAAAATGGCAATAAGTGACAGTTTCCGAGACAGTCCAACACCATATACCACCCATAAACTGTATGACTACACTCTCTTCAAAAAGTATGTTGTTTAATTCTATAGCAACTCCGAGGGAGGAGCAACAGCGTCAACAGTTGCCGGGGCCCTGACAGCGAGCTATAAGAGCCGAGCCCGCGACACGACAGCAAAACCACAGTATAGTAATTATATATCAAAGACCCTTCATAGCCAATAGGGCTAAATGGAATATGAAGAGAGCGACATGCACCACAGGCTGTCAGAGCGAGAGGAGGGCTGCAGTCAACAAAAGTTAAGAGTAAATCAAATCCTTTAAGAGATGTGGTACAGCGTGAGTCAACTTTAAACTATACCGGGGGCACAGTTTGTTCAAAGTGAAAAAATAACTGAATCAAACTGTATAGTAGAAATAAATATATACTGTAGGATGGACGATCTTGCAACATATAACTGCTAGACTAAAACTAAACTAACTTTGCCTACAAAGTCTCAAAAACACAGCAAATTCGTATCAATGTTCTTTGGCTTTTTCATGATTGTATAACTTTATATTTTAAGGTTTTGTCTCCTTGTTTAGATAAAGTGTATTCTCTGCCTTTTATCACCTACTTGTTTTTGCTCTACCATGTTTTGAAAAGTGCAAAAATGACCGTACTGTAATTCCTCAGTGACATTGCAGATCATTTAAATACATTTTTTTAAAGTACAATGCTGAACCTGAGATCTATTGTACACAATGTATTAGTTATCGTGCCATGAATAAGCTCGGTGAATTTGCCGTTAATGTATGTGCTGCAGATAACTATTATTTATATATCGCTATCAGATAACACCATTCAACTTTGAGTGAACAGGTGCAAATAGAAAATGAGAAATAATGACCCAACGTTCCTGTTCATACTGGCCTGTTGAGCTCTGGATCTCTTTCTGTGTGTGTGTGTGTGTGTGTGTGTGTGTGTGTGTGTGTGTGTGTGTGTGTGTGTGTGTGTGTGTGTGTGTGTGTGTGTGTGTGTGTGTGTGTGTGTGTGTGTGTGTGTGTGTGTGTGTGTGTGTGTGTTCCTTGGGGCCAGTTCATGCATGACCTCACTGTGAAAATGTGTACCTCCTGATACAAGGACCTCTCGGTCTAAAGCATGAATCATGCGTTTGTCTTTGGCACAAATAAAAACTGTCAAAGGACATCAGAAAATCCACAATAAGACTTGTTATCGCCACCTCCATTCATTTTGAAACTTCCGAGTCTTTTCTACTTCTTCTATGGCTGCATTTACTTCGTGGAATACTGAATGTGTGGGACGGCAGGGATGGTGCAAGCTAGATACAATAGTGCACAGCAGAGAGATTGTGCAAACGAACAAGCAAGCAGAGGTGAATTACACAACTCGTACACACACACACAACCGCCTCCGTAAATGACCCTCGCCAAATCAGATCATATTCCCACAAAATATATGTCAATGCCACACAATTTTGCCTCTGTGTGGAACATTCCTGCACTCTCCCAAATTATCTCCAGTATCTGGTCCTAATGGGAAACTTTGGAGACTTTGGTTTCCTTTCTAGGTCCATCCTCGCTTGGAAAATAGAATCACAAAAAACGAATGTCCCTCTACTGCTTACACCAGCTGTCTCACTTAAATTTGCATTTTTTTACGGCAGTTCTTCCATAAAAGACAGATTTTACTGTTCTGAAACTCAGTTTGAGAGGACTAAAAGGTGGATTTTGTACGGATATCTTGTTGCTGCATGAAATCACCTGAAGTGTTCTTGCATATGTTTTGTTTTAAATGCAGAAAGAAAAATGCACTCTGACTCAGAAATACTAAGAGGAAGAGTGAGCATATTGGAATATTTGTTGGCACCAACAGGAGAGTAAATTGACTGAAATGAGATTTAGCTCAGGACGATATGCTTCTATTCCACCTCAACAGAAAACCTAGAGTCATGATTTCTTTACATGGCTTAGAACGTATTAGATTTCATGGCTTTCAAAACTAGCAGACAGCACTTTTCCACAATTCCCTCCCTAGAAAAGTAGCTGCATGGGGAAATTAAATAACAGCTTTCCTCCCATCTCAAACCAAGAGTTAATCTGTTTTCTTTGCACAAATCTAGGAACGGTGTCTTTATTTTGAATGCTGCCAACACTTGCTTCCCCATTCGGCTCTTCTTTTTTCATTATGTCCAACATTGCAGGGGCCCCCTTCGAGGTCTTGCATATTTAACGTGCACGGACCAAATCCGGTCATTCAAGCTATACGAAATCCCAAAGCTTTTATCAATTTGTCAGATGAGCTTTCCATAGTTTAACATCAGATACAACTTTGATAAAAGACCAGAGGCAAAAGACTTGAAGCTTCAACGATCATACAATGTGAAGGTCGCAAAAGGCAGGAAATAATTAGAGGATTTTAGCGGAATTCCAATACACAATCAATGCATTGATTTGGCCATGATTTCTCAGCCATAACCTTGTTTATTTGTGAATAAAATAAATGTAAAAATTGCCAGTATTATCCTAATTTGACGTTTCCAGATATAATTATGAGTAAATCAAAATTGGTGGAAGATTAAAAACGTAACTGCCCTTTTCTCTTCACTAGGCAGATGGATGGGCTTCAGTCATTACGCTCGACAGACCCTCAGCTCGTTATATTAGCACTTTGTGATGTAAATGAAAAGGATAATGTTAGTTTGTCGGCCTGTGAAGATGTTTAGCGCTTTTGTTCTAAGAAGGATCCTCACTTTGTCTTGTAGATGTGTTTTCTGTTTTTATGCAAACTGGGCTATTTGGGCTTTGGAGCCCATTGGTGGTCAGAACGATACAAACGCGTTCAGCTCGGTAAACACTATTAGGTTAAATATTCTACAAGAAAAAACACTTTAACATTGTAGTTTTTAAAATCTCTGAAATTATCTAAGAAGTCAAGGGAATTGATTTGGATCATCAGACCGATTTGTGAAAAATGTGCCTTTCCCGTTAACCCCTAATATCCCAATCCATTAGTAGCTTAGTCTGCTATGAAATGTCTGTGGGGTCACTTTTTGTCATACATGTGCTCACACAAATGTAACAATACAGAGAGATTAGCTGTGCTAAAATGCCAAACTCTGCTACAAAAGAATGACGTCCAATTTATAAAAATGCACCACAGTCGTAACAAAACACAAAAAAAACTTAAACTAATTTCACATTTTAACTCGACGGAAAAGCCTTTAGACACGTCCCCGTGAAGGTGCAGTGTTGCACTGTGTCCAATAGAGATCACTGCACATCGCAAACAGGCCAGGCTGAGTGGAGCCCCCCAGCATAATGTCAAACTGAGTCAATATTTAGTTAAATAACATACAGGATAGAAACAAGTGAACAATCAAACATGCAATTTAGCTAATGGAATTAATATGGCATAATAATGTAGCCTACGTGCCAGCAACATGACGCGTAAATGACATAAAGAAAAGCAAGAGGCGCAACCAAAGTGTGTCACTGTGTTTAAATTGATACTTTAATTTTGGAATAAACTCAAAAAACTTGTTGGATAATTGTGAAAAAATACATTAATTTGATGTGCTTTAATAAGGTCCAAATGTATTGCATTGCAAACCACTCTGCAATTAATTAGCTGCAACTAATGTGTAGTGCGTTTCTGTTAGAAATTAACTAAACACATTTCTTTAATTCTCTTTATAAGACAAAACTTGTGAAAACATTTGATAAAATATATATTTGTCCATTGTTGATCCATATCAGCATGACTTTTCTGCAGCACTATGTTGCCAATTACCCAATAAATCTATTTTACGGAGTAATAAAATCATGTAAAAATGCTTCCATCTTTTAAATTTCGTTTTTTGCACACACTCTATCCACACACAGTAGTATAAAATGAGTTTTACCTGTACCACTCCAGTCCGTTGTCATAGTTTCGGTCGAAGAAGTGCGGCTCCGCTCCCACGGCTCTGATGTCCGGATGAACCCGGAGAAACTCCAGCAGAGCCCGGGTCCCTCCTTTCTTCACCCCGATGATGATCGCCTGCGGCAGCTTCTTGCTCCCGGAGCCGTTGGAGAAGCTGGACATGGCGCTGGGCTCCGGGGCTCTCTGCTGCTCTCCCCGCATCTCGTCCCAGTCCTCGGCTCGGTCCATGTCCATCTCGTTATCCAGCAGGTCTCTGGACGCGGCAGTCCTGATGGACGGCTCCTCGTAGTCGCTCTCTATATCCTCCCAGGGCTGCGGCTTGGCCAGCAGCCGGGACACCAGGTCCGTCCTGCCACTCTCTGTCCTCTTCCCCACCGCAGACACAGTCTCCTTGCCCCGGTAACTGTCCACCACCAAACTTGGCATGGTGGAGCAGTAGCCCACGCAGGAGTACAGCATGTATACCCAGATTAAAAACATGATGCTGAGCAGTATTAGTTTCTTCTTCACGGGCTGGACCAGAGGGCATACAGGCTGTGACAAACCAGGCTATATTCCATAAGCCTTTCTGTTGAAAATCATATCCCAGCGGCGCATATTGCCAAAGTCACTCCCGTTGGCACCTCGGAAATCCTCGCAAAATTACGCACCTAAAACTAAACATAAATATTTTCAAATAAAAAAATCTTAGTGTAAACGAAGAGAATGGTACATCCTGGAATGAAAATGCATTGAGGAATTTGTAATCATAGTTGTGGCTACACTATGGGAGGTTGTGAATCTGTCAGACGCAGCGCGAGGCTGCTCCAGGCTCATCTCAGGTTTGTTAAAACTGCTGCTGGAGCACGAGACCTTATACAGGGACGAGCAGGAGAGTGACAGCAGCGACAGCCAATAGGTGCAGAGGAGATAAATATGCAGCCGTTTGTTTATAGGAGCGGGCCAATCAGAGGGAGGTGTGGGCGGGGCCAGCTCGTGGGAGCCTTGGTATGGAGATGAAGCGTGTGTGCGGGACGCTGCTGAGAGTTTGGAAAACTTTCTTATTGGGCATAGAAACCAATTAACTCTTGTTTCTCATGTAAGCGGACAGAATGTTTAAATGAGATCAGACAACTTTAAATATTTCCAGCAGGTTTCTTCTGACAACTCCTTTGTGCGTGTTTTGTTTATAATGCAATAGGCCTACACAAAATAAACTTCAAATTATATTGCAGCAGACGCTTTGAAAATAAGGGAAAGCTTTAGGAAAAGGAACAGACGTAACTGATTAATTTAAACCTAAACACACACGTGACATGAAATGACTGCTCATTGAATGAGAAGCAATGCAGAGGTCACAGTTATTCCTACATTTATGAAAAAGGAAACAAAGCTCAAACAGATCGTTAACTTTAAAATTAGTTGTTTTAATTATATAATTCATTACATAATTACTGATAATTAAATGTGAGCACGTCTCGTAAATCTGAACCATTACGCCTGTAGAAACTAATGAAAAATAATGATGTTAAACTTAACTTTATTTACCCCGACAGAAATTGAAACAATAAATACAAACTAATATAATCTAACGGCATTCAGGGCAAATAACTATTAACAAGAACTACTTATGCATTTAGAACACTCTTTATCGCTTATAATGTGTCTTAATTGAGATGTTACGCATTATGAATTACGTCTCTTAATATTAGGCTACCAACAGCATGTCAATTCACGGCTTGAACAAATAGAAGACTGTATTATAAAGCTAAAATCACTCATTCAACAGGTTGCACAGGACATTTCTATTTATTTTAACAATACCATAATTAATAACGACTTTGCTTTTTAACTATCGCCTTATTCATGACATATAGAGGCCTCCCTCTAACTTTGAGAAGTCAAGCAACTTAATATCGTTTTATTAAAATAGTACATTTATATTTAATAGAACATATATCAGAATAGCAAGAGAGTAATGGAAAACGCAACCCTATGGACACGTTTCTTTTTAGGAGTTTGTGCGTAATTCAGTCATGTTCCTAACGCAGGCACTGTTAACATTTATATCTGGGAACACTTGAGGAGCCCTGTATTGAATAAAAAGCTCAACAGTGGGAATATGCACTTAATTTAGAGAGAAAGAAAGAAGAATAAAGTTTCAGCGACTATTTTTCATCTGATACTGGAGATGAGTCAAAACAGATCTGTAATATAAACCCGGGGAACCTCGGCCGAGTTATGAAATAGAACCACTGACAGACTGTTTTCATCTTTTTAAAACGAACGAACAGACTGACTAAATGTGTACGACATCTACTTAGATGTGTTTTTATTGCATATGAACAGAAAGGCTTTTATTTTTGCAGTTTTGGCTGCAATTCACAAAGTCAAAACCACGTCGAAATAACAGCCTCGCTCTTTTAAAAACAGTAAATATAGAGACCTTGTGATCAAGTACAAAAATATAAGTATTTTCAGCAGGAGATTCGTTTTTATCTCCATTTTCCTCATAGAAAACATTGGTAGGATGACCTGTTGCGTGTGATGCAAGTTTATTTTCCACGGAATCAATCATTTATCCCTCTGATATTCCTACAGAGACTTGAAGAGATAGTTTTACATTATGGGTTTTTAGTTTCTGTCCAAACGCTGCTTTATAGTTTATTGCAGAGCTTTGGATTCTATGTTGCAACACCAACCTTTGAAGGGAGGCCAGAGGTCATCCGTCATCCTGAGACTTCACTGCTGCTTTCAATCCTGTTGCCTCTACTGTTTTCCCCTCTGGATGTTAAAGCAGCTGGGAGGACTTCAGATGGGACTCTCTCCTGTTTACAGATGCATATGTTGCCCCTTTAGTGTTGTTGAATACGAGGAAAGTCTCAGCAATTAACATAAATGGTTTATTGACTAGTATCAGCAATGAGAAGGAGGGAAGCTTCCATGTTTTTATGCAAAAAAAATAAGAATATGAAATATAAATGGCTTGTGAAATTATAGACTTTTAAAAACATTACTTACATTTTGATAGCTAAATGTGAAAAATCTTAAGTGCAAAAATATCAAAATCCCATTCAGATACTGTACAATTATAATGATGAATACCTATGAATTATTATATACTTTACATAATGATTAAGTGTCTGGAGTAAAAAAAAAAACTAAACTTACCTCTTGAAAATGACATCTCAGATTCCTTTACTGAAAACCTCAGAATCAATTGAATATGCAAATATTTCTCATTTCAAAATGTATAATTTTTCTCTTTTTTTTTTTTACTACGTTCAATCTGGTAAAGTTCATTCTCGGTGAATACGCACTGGAAGTTTCAAGTTTCCACATCCCCCTTGTGTCAGTTCTTGAATTGTTCCCACACGGGCTGTGATGTCACCAAATCACAATCGTAGACGCTGTAAAGTCAGATTTAAGGAGAGTGTATGGATTTAAAAACAGCACATCACTCACAAGGGAAGCTAAAACATCCGAGCTAAGTTGCAAAAAACACATTTCAGAGAGCACTTGTTGGCATAAGTAAAGTTCATAATGTCATTGAATAACTCCCAAACCTCAATCTGAGACTAAATAAACTAGCTGGAGGCTTTTTTGGAATAATGGATGGATTTACCTTTCATCAGAACAGCAGCTCAAAGACATCTCTTGTATAATCTGAGGAGGAACGCTTGGTTGTGGCGAATAAATCGAGCAACTGTTAAAAGCTATTGACCTAACACTGAATATGAAATATAACTCAGAACAGCATCAGCAGTAGCTTTCTGTTCTCCTGGCTCATAGGACAAGACAGCAGCTCTCTACCTCTATAGGAGCGGACATTGTGAACCATGACAGGCCGTCACCCTGAGCCCTGGAGGTTGATATCCAATCTGCACACAGGTTGGTTGTGTGTGTGTGTGTGTGTGTGTGTTGTCCCCACTTCTCTCTTAACTGTAACAGCTGGCTCGATCGCTCCCCTCCCTCCCTCTGATATGAAACTCTGTATCCGGTCGGACACTTTACGAGGATGTCGAGCCGTTTCAGGTCTCCCGGCCTTGGCTAAATCCCACAGCCCCCTTTTATGGAGGGAGGATGGCAGCGAGGGGAAGGGGACGCTCGTTTCTCCGAGTGCGGTGATGGAATTGTAACCCAATACCAAAACTAGGGGTAAAGGGCGGAAGGGGAGCACATGTTGACTGACAGGTGCAGAGGTGGCCTGCTAAATAGAGCTCATTGGAGGGATGGCCATTTTGTAGCATATCCACTAAGGCTATAATTGAAACTTAAATCCATACATTATGTGGAGGCAGCACCACCTAACAAGGCGTGGTGCACAAGGCCTTGACTTCAGGTACACAATTTACAAGATTTAAATGAAGTGGAATGATGACACAAAAGATAGAATAACAATCATGAGGCATTTATTGTAAGAGAACATTTGCCCTTGTGTACAGGGGTTAGATATTCCCTTCGTTTTGTAATTAAACCATAATGAGAAAAAATGAAGACACATCAGTGCTTTTGCTGAGAAGCGAAATACAAAGAGGCATCTCAAAGAATGATAGAAAGTGAAAACACAATGAATAGATATCAGGTGCATTGTCATAGCTGCTTCATATAGTTTATATTTTTCTCTTATTTTTAAACATTGACTGAGAACTCCAACAGAGATCCTGTGATCACCATGATGTCTTCACGTCCTTTAAATATCCTCTTCTTCTATTTTGCATTTGTGCAATGCAGACAGTGAACCCTGTGTGGATCCATAGGAGCGATTTACAGTCACTGTACAATAAATTGAACATCAGTCATGTACAACATGGAGAGGAACCCCAATATAAATAAATACAGAATATATACAGTACACACACGCATTTGAAATGACAACAAACTGATGTGTGTTTTCTGTAAATCAGATATTTTTGATCCAAATCATTTCCAGCTCATTTGCTGATCTGCAGTGACCACCTTAAAGCACACGGATAAAATAATGTGTCTATTATGCAGACCCCTCTGAGCACGAGTGGTTGAAGACACTGAGGGAGCATCTCAGTAAAAATAAAAGCTCTCAGAGGTCTAAGAAGTGTTTAGGAAGGCAGTGAGCTTTGCAGAGCGAGGGCTAAAGAGGCTGCGGGGGGTTCCTCGGGGTCTCTGCGGGGCTTCTTGCAGGTGAAGGCCAGCAGCAGCAGCATGGGCAGGTGCCACAGGCTGCAGAAGAACAGCTTGCGGGCGCTGCCGCGGTCGCCCTCGCGGTAGAAGCGGAAGGCCAGGTAGCTGATGTACAGGTTGATGGGCAGGGAGATGATGGGGAAGGTCCAGGTGGTGACGTCCAGCACCGGGGCCAAGGTGGAGAGGCCGATGAGGCCCAAGCTGTGGCGCAGGGCCACCCGCTTGCACATGCTGGGGTGGGTGACGGACATCATTCTGTAGCCGCCGCGGGAGTAGTCCTCCCTCAGGTTCCAGCTGAGCGCGTTGAAGTGAGGGAATTGCCAGCAGTACAGGAAACCACCCATCAACAGAGCACCTGGGGGGGGGGGGAGAGAGGGAGAGAATGAGGGAGGGGAATCTGAGGGACTATAATGTGTTCAGCATGCCAATAACAGCCGGAAATAAATGGTTTATGTTTGGATCGGTGCGAAAGTTTTCTTTTGAATCCAACAATTGTAATAATAGTTTTTCCAGAATTTGAACACTTCAGTGACCAAACAGCTCAGTGCAAACCTTTCCTTTGTGTTCTAAAATATACTTAGAAGATGCTTTTTAAGTATAGTTTTAGTAAGAGGTTACAAATACATGTACAAAAAGAAAAGCTATAATATAAAACGGCTATGCTTTTCCAATGTCATAACTACAGAGTGAATGATGCGGATCAGACGGTGCTTCAGTTAATTACTATTAGTGCTGCACTATGGCCAAAATTACATTATTATTTTCTTTAAAATGTAGTGCTGAAAAAAAATATGCATAATAAACATAAACAGAGCGCTGCTTTTTACTTTAACATTGTGCTATAATGCTGCTAATGGACAAATCAAATCAGCCGTGAAATAAGGTTTTTCTTCACACTAATTGAGTGTTTTTTGTATTATTTCTCTGCTGCAGGGAGAAAGAAAACACACAAATAGAGCGCTTCAAATACCGATCTTCTTTTGCCTCGCTGTTAGGAAACATGTTAACTCCTGTCTGAGTTCAGAGTGAGGACTGGGTTGGATCTCTGATGGTGGACTCGGCTTTGAGGGACATTAGGCGTAATGCTTTTTATACACCAGGTTAATTCAAAGAGCAATTTCATCTCAGGTTGATCCTCTGTAAACGCTGGATTGCTTTTTAAAGTTTTTATGAATATGATGAGTTACTATGGAATCACAAGTCCTTGAATGGAAATAGAACTGCTTCCATTTACAGATGAAAAGCACATTTATTAAACATTACGTTGAAAAAGCCATCCTAATATTTAGAGCACAAACTCGCGTGAGGGAAATGGTGGCAACACGATGAAACACAAATCATGCAGTTGCCATAACAGAACCCTTAATGTGTCCCCCAAACAAGCTGCTTAAGCCCCCCCCGAAGTCTGCGACTCTTCGCTAACTTAATGTTACATTCATTTGGCAGCTGCTTTTGTGCAAAGAGACTCACAATAAGGGCATTCAAACTCCCCAGGAACAAGAGCAGTGTGAGCGCTGCAGGGATCCTGGGCCGTGTGTAAATAAAGCTTTACGAGTGTGAGATCAGGGATCCTGATGATCCGGAGAGGAGCAACAACCCAAACACTGCAACGTGATTTAACTAGGGCTGCAACTAAAAATTGTTTACAATATTCATTAATCGTTTAGTCAATACAATTATTCCAAATAACTTGGTTTATCCACAACATAACATTTGGCCTTACAGCCAGGAAGTATTTTCAAATAGCTGTTGAAATCCTCCAATATGCCAAGTTCCTAAGTATGCGAGGTGTGTGTGTGTGTGTGTGTGTGTGTGTGTGTGTGTGTGTGTTCACTGAGACTGTTTATTTGTTAATTACCTAATTTACACCTGAACTTTTTAAAGAACATCCATAAATATTCATCTTGCACATTTGTTATCTAATACATCATATTCCATTTACTTGTATATAGACTCTTCTTGCACTATTTCTATTCTATTTGTATTTACTTGCACATCTCAAAGCAGTCTCTATATGTTGCACTGTTGGAGGAGCCTGTGACCTACGTTTTTCATTGCCATATCTACACTGTAGCTAATGTGCAAATGACAATAAAGCCTTGAATTTAATTATGTGTGTATTTGTTTGCGTTTCAGCTCGGTGTAAGAGTCTGGTGTTTTTGGAGACCACACCAGCACGGCAACATGACTAATTTATAATGTGATGAGGATCTATTCAGTTATGTAGTTCATACTTGGGATTGATGTACTTGAAGTATGCACTATGATGCAAGGTCATCGGCAGTTCTCAATATTCCATTACTTGGACCTGACTCTAATTGACCGGTATCCCTAAATATGACGTTTTCAAATTGCTTACCGTCTGATTAAAAAGGCAGAAATTCAAAAATGTATCTATTTACAGATTACGGAGGTTAGATCCAGTGCTTGTTTGGCATCTGTGCTTGTAAAATGACTTCAGGTAGGAGATATCTTTCAATGAATAATTCCGCACCTTGGCCCAGACACCCCGTAGCAGCCGTCCAGCCCATGACGGGGGGGAGGGCCCCCACCACCGCTCCCACCCAGGTGTTGGTGATGCTGAGCCTCTTGAGCGGAGTGTAGCAACAGGTGTAGAGGAAGATGTTGAGGGCCCCCAGGAAGCCCGTCAGGGGGTTAACGGCCAGCGTGAGCAGGGCCACTCCGGGAATTCCACAGCCCAGAGCAAAGGACACCGCATGGAGGGGGCTGAGGAGAGGAAGGGACACAAAAAAGATTTTTAAATTTTTTGTGATAAAAGGCAATAGAGAAAGACAGGCTCAGACAAAAGCCTGTCACCGCCATGAGAACTATAGGGTGATAAAGTGTTAGTGGGCTTGTGCAGACACAAGATAAGACAATGATAGCTCCACATGTTCAACACACACACACACTGAGACCCATGGGGGGGGCCACACACTAACCGTCAGCAGCCGTGCATGGCTGAGTCTCAAAACGGGAGGCTTAGAGGAAGCTCATCTGATAAGAGTTTGTCAGGGATAAAAGTAGCCCGGCAAGATGAAGAGCATGTGCACACGCCAGAGATCAAAACTAGCTGCAGAAAAACCACGGCTCAGGCTTTTAGCCGGATGAAGACTTCCTCCTCCTCCTCCTCCTCCTCCTTCCCTCGTCTTTTATTGAAAGCAGTGATGGCGAGGTCTGGTTCAAATTCACGAGTAAATGCTCCATAAATTAAAGAGAGGGTCGATTAAAATCTTGACCAAAAGCAGACCCTTTTTCTTCAAAAAGCAAACGGGGCTTTTATTTTGGTGGCGCGCGGGGAGATGGCATCATTAATGTGATTAGTGGTGTTATGTCTGTTTTATGTGGGCTGAGGTGGGGCCCTGCAGGCTGGCTCAGTGGGAGTCAGGGGAGGGGGGGGGGGGGGGGGGGGGGGGAGTGCATCACATGGTCTGAGGTGCTTACAGTCTGTCACAGCCGCAGTCATAACGTCAGGTGGGTAATGTCAACACCAAAGCCAAAGATGTGGACGTCTGGTTAGACCACAATCAAGGCCAGGGATCCAAAAGTAAAACATGAGGGATTTAAATGTTACTTTAAAGAAACAGGATGATTCTACTTCAAACGGAGTCACCTGTTCTATATTCAAGTGGTCGGAGAGGGAAAGTAAACTGTGGAAAACAACTATTCTGATCTTTCTAAATCTGTAAGCCTTGCCTACAAAACAGAGACTTCTGGGACTGGTGCCAACTGGGAACACTACAGATCACTGAAAGCTTCTGCCCACATTTGAGTATGATTATTTCCACAAACAAACCCAGATACTTTATGTATTGACAGCCAGAGTGGAGCCAATATTGAATGTAAATACAACAGGAGGAAAAGGCTAATCCTGAAAGAGTTCTCTTGTGCTTCTGTGCCAAAACAGAAGTGGACTACCATTTTGAAAAAGTGTTGGCTTCCTAAGCTAATGCTGCAACTTCTGCAGAAAAGGCAAAGAACGGAGAAAGATGAAGATGTTAAACTGTGCAAAGAGAGAGCAGGGGATAGGTGACATTAATAATAATAATAATAAAGTGAACTTCAGCTGAAAGAGCTAAATTAACTGAATGATAAAAACTACTTTGAGCACACGGTTACATTAAAGAGGCCCTATTATGCTTTTTGGGGGTCTCCCTTTCCTGTATTGTGAAATAAAGGTTTGGTCGGCAAAGGCTAAAATCACACCATTCCCCCCCGAGGGAGTTTCTCTCACACACTCACCCCCTGCCTGAAATGCCTCTAATGGACTCCTTTGTTTACTTCCCTAACATAGTGACATCACTATCACATCAGTATAACACTCACAATTCTATTGGCTAGTGCTCCAACACATTGAACGTGATAGGCTAGGGAGCAGGACATGCACAGGCAGGAAAAATAAAGAGCTTTTTGAACTTTAAAGCATGTTACAGTAGAGACACAAAAAACTAAAATGAAGAGAATATATGCAGAATATGTCTAACAGTTGCTATCCATTTTCCACCGTCAACTCCACTCGGAAAATACATTTAATTTAATTCAATAAGCTTTATTGTCCACCAGAGGACAATTCTGATGCAGCATAAAAAGGAAACGACAATCAACACGCTGTAAATATAGCAGCGAAGAAAATATAATAACTTTCCTGCTTCATTATCCTAACGGTCCCAATGCCATCCCATGAAAGAATCAAACATGTTTTTGGGTTAAGTTCTGTCTTGTACTTAATAAAAAGTGGTTGTCAAAGTTATCTTAACAAAGCAAACTCAATTTTCTGGTGCAGAACAGCCCAAATCAAAACTCTCTTCTGGCTCAAAAGCTGCCATGTGTTTAACCACCTAGATGAAACTCAAACTCATCTTCCTCCTCCTAGCAGGCTGACAGCTCTTCAGCATCACCACATGTGGATGCCTCAAACTCTGCGAAGCCACTACAAAGGCTGGGGGACTGTCATCCGCATTCTACTGAAGAAGAGTAAAGGTGGGTAAGATGAGACACTATTGTAGTCTAGACATGAGAGGAAAAAGTATTTCCGATGCTCACATCACATTGGCAGACAGATTTCCGCAGTCGGACAGATGTAGAGGAGGGACACCTTGAAGACAATATAGAAAATGTGTAAAATGCGGCCTCCTCATGGCTTGTTTGACAGGACACTCCGGCCTCATATATGCCCGCCGTCTCTACACCAGATTGTATGTTCTGTCTCAGTGTTTGCGTCTCAGAGACACACCTCCTCTGGTCAGCGACAGGCTAAAAGCCAGGGAAGAGGATGTGTTTAGATAGTGAGAGAGCATCTTCAATCAGCAGCTCAACAGCATGAGGGTCCGATTTTAAACAGCATGTCAAAGGAGAATTCCTGAAACTGGGATGAGATAGCTGAGGGTCAGGGTGCAGTTATAGTACCAACAGGCCGTTTCAGTCACAGCGGGACTATGATGCTGCATCAGCACACAACGGAGGCTTTTAGCTTCTACTTGTTAGCTTCCACTTGTTAGCTTCCACTTGTTAGCTTCCACTTGTTAGCTTCCACTTGTTAGCTTCCACTTGTTAGCTTCCACTTGTTAGCTTCCACTTGTTAGCTTCTACTTGTTAGCTACATGTGGACAGGACTGTTGTGGAAAGTGTTTCATTGTCTTTTTTGATAAATGTAGCTTTTCACTACATAGGTAAATGTCATGTCATGTCAACAATCAAAATACCTACACTCCTGGTCTCACGTAAATATCCTAAAAATACAATAATGTATTTAATTTTATATTAGAAATATGTCTATAAAAATATATAAATACACAGTTGCATAATAAACATTAATAAATGAACTTTAAATAATAAGTTATAATTACAATAATAATAATAATAAATTAAATAAACCAATAGGAAATTCAAAAGCCATGTCAATTATTTAAAATGTATTAATAGTGTACATATCAAGGGTTAGGGTTTATTTTCCCTGTAGTGTCTTTTAACTCAGTTTTATCATTCAGAACCACACTGACATGTTCCAGATCAGTCCCTTAAGTTATATTTATTTCCCACGTGTTATCCTCTTGTGTCAACAGGTTGTTTGCTTTCTTTCTTCCTGAATACAAATGAGATAACGCTCCTTTCCTGTAAGAGTTCAATGCGATAAAGGCAGTTTCCTGGCACTGGCAATAGGTGAGGAGGACATGATGTTAGTTTGTGTTTTCTTTTGGTTTTTCTGCATCAGTGCATCCCTGCTGCTTGAGGGTGGAAGCCTCCGGAAGAGAAAGGAAAGACGCCATATCCAGTCATACAGTAGTAGAGCGCAGTGATAGATGCAGTTCACTGAACACAAAGATTATCAGACATCTGAACTACGGAGGAAGCAAAAGTTAAGGTGTCATGTAACAACACCCTAACCTCTGCCTCTACCCTCCTCCTTTCCAACCTGATCATAAGCTCACATTACACCTGACAGGCGTACAGCAGAGGGTTGGAATTGGCAGCTACGCTCTGTGGCTGCTGCTACTCTACATACACAGCTACTTGTCTGATTTAGCTCCATGATAACTCAGCTAAAGAGAAACACAAGGGAGTAAAACAATACGGATGTGTGCTCAGTGCTACTGTTTTCTATAAAAGGTGTGGTCAGTCAAATATAGCCGGTAAATTACAAGCTTAGAGAAAGATAAGGTCAGTGAGAGAGGAAACAGTAGCAGCCTTGTGTATTAATAAAAGAAAGGGATGAGGTTGGGGGCTTAGTAGCTGTCATGCAGTGTTGCCTCTGTACTGAACTCATGCTCTCTTCCTCCACTTGAGTCACTCTCTCAAAGTAATCAAAAGTGCAGATGGGGTTGTTTTGCTAAATGTTGCACACAGAAGGCTAGATCTTTTAAATAGGAGAAAAACTGTACCTGATTTGTCCTCTGACGAGTGGTCGGTTCTTGGTACGATTCATGTTGGAGTCGAAGGGCACCTCAAAGTACTGCGGAGACAGAAATACACGTGGGTTCATTCAGGATCCCACACAAAGACACTGATCTTCCTTCATGGACACACAGTATATATGAACTACTTCAGGCAGCAGTGGAAATTCATCGCTTTGGATGTTAAACTGCATTTATGTTGCCTAAATTCTGCCTTCCTTTGAGCTGAGTAACAATACAGCAAAGATTTATAGCGCGATCATTCTGCAGATGCAAACAAAGAAAAAGGTGTGAATAGAAAGAAACAGCCACTGTGATAAATGATGCATTTCTTTCCGGTGTCGGTTGTGTTAACGTCCACAGAAATGTAAATCAACTTGGCAAAATTATAACGATCACAGGACTTCCGCCGTGGCTGCCTCTGCGAGTTCTACGCAACATCTGGAGAGAAACAATGTGAGGGGAGCCGGGTGTAGCAGAGGCTCGCCCTACACGTAGAGAGTCAGCGGATGGAGGTGGAAGGTGGAGACCGAGGTGTGGGTTGGGGGGGGGGGTGCACTGGGACAAAACTATGTGAAAAACTACTTATACTCCTGTTTTATGATCTGCTCTGGAGGAGTATGCTTCAAAGTGCTCCCATGAGATTGGCAATGTGTGACTAAAATGCAAACACATGGGGTGCTTAAATGCAGGAACTGGCTAATCTGAGTGTGTGCGAGTGTGTGTGTGCAAGCGTGTGTTTGCTCGCCCGCATAAGAGAGCCTTTGACTAATGAAGAAAACAGATAAAGCACTTTAAGAGTACGGAGCATCAAGAACCATCTCTGCGGAAATATGGCCCACATCAAATATGTAATAAACAGATAATCCACTTTTCTCTTCTTCAAACCAAGTTTCCAGATTTACTGCGCTCGTGACATCGGAAAGCCACAATATTATTAAAAAACCTCGGGTGGAACGGCGTTGCATTATGTATAGATTTGTATTTATAAAGAACATTAGAGAGAGGGCGGCACCATTAAGGTTGACGGAGACTTGGATCTAAATATGATCAGCAACGGGAAGATCAAACATCTTTAGTATAAATGTGCTCTTTTAGATGTGGTTTTCAGAGGGACACTGAACCTCTCAGAGCAGAGTGGGATACATATTTCGAACCTACTCTGTCTTTGCATTTCGTGTTGCTCTTTTTTGGGTCGGTTTCCTCCGGATTCCTTGCCAGAAGTCGACAAAGTACAGCTACCATTTCACAGTGCCGACATGCTAACATTTTGTACTATTTTGAAGAGATAAATGCAATATGACAAACAGAGCCTTTGATAGTCAACAGTTGGTATACACATCTCCTCATTTGGCTTCAGTTAATGTCTATATTGTAGTGGCACTAATACCCTCCAAGCACCCAAAGACATTAAAGAGGTAGGGGTTGTATAAACTCTTCCGATATGCACGAAAACAAATCTCCTGCTTCCCTTTTCCGTCTTTTGGCTCAGTTTTAGTGTTAGCACTAGCTAGCCGGACTCTGACTGGACTGGGCCGAGCTAACGGACAGCTGTGTACGCGGCTGTGGGACCCCGAGGCCCGGGCTGAGGTGTTAATTCTATTTCCTGGGTCAGGAAATGCGTCAAGAGGTCAGGGGCCGCATGAGAGAGAAATGCTCTTTGTGGCCAGAGCAGAGCGGTGCTGCAGCAGGCCTCGGGGCCGGCCCGGGGCCAAGCTCCCTGCAGCAACGCTCACATAAAAAGGATCCATTTAGTTTCCAATAACATCATCCCACAAGTCACAAGAAAAGGGTTCTCTTTGTATTGTGTCCCACAGGCATATAAGGCAACAGTAAATAAAAGAACAATTAAAGAGTTTCTAGAGTGACAAAATGATCTCAAACACAAGTTCTGCTGTGTTTGAGTGAAGTTGTCGCGTGTTTATATGGATGATTTAATAAGAATGTCACTCAGTCCCCCCCCACTGCGTGTGCCGCTGTCGTTTCACAGTTTGTCCAGCTCTGCTCTCGTTCCTCCCTCTTTGCCTTTTAAGTCAGAGTGCCTCATCTGGTTCGCATCAGCGGCCCTCTCAGCCCGTGTCATTATTTCCGCCCGATGTTGCCATGTGTAACAGTGAGGGCACTCAAATAATTAGGCCATTTGTGTTTTGTGTGCATGCACGTGCGCTGCTACAGGTAGGTCTGAAGGTTTGGTACATTTTTTTTATTGACACGTCTTCACCTGCGATGACTCGAGGTAACTTGACTGTGTAATTAGCTGTCAAAACATTTGGTGATTATAGCATATAGCATCAAGCTCAAGAATCTCCAAAAGGGCTCTTCTGACTGGTGTAAATGTACAATGCCATTACTCAATGGTAGTATCATCATATTGTCATACACGTCATAAAATACTACAGCAACAACAATATTAAAGCGGATATGATAATTGAATAATGACATTTACACCATTATGTCAACAAGGCCTGAAAAAAATATGAACAGAAAAAAATATTTCTATCAAATTGAGTGATTGTTGTTTTAAGCTTATACTACAGATGCACTATGCACACACTACACAGTTTGCAAAAAGCCCAACATAAATATAAATATTGCTTTGTATGTATATTTGAATTAAAACTAAAATGAATACAAATTATAAAATTGTATTTATTATTGAGTGTCAGTGTGACTGCTATTTTACAATATACCAGTGTTTGAATGTAGTTTCCATTGTGTTGACACATGCACAACGCCCTTGCAAACAGACAACAGTTTGTTCGTAACCCAATGCTCTTCTCTTAAAGCTCACTGACACACCATGATACATCAGTTTAAAACTACCTTCATCTACACAGAGGCAGCTGGGGGACGGAACCGGAAGTTATGGAGAGCCTGGCTGCTGCTATCAATTATGAACGCAAACACACACGCACAGAAACCCGTAACTGTAGGGACAATTATCCACCAGATGAGGATGGAAAACAGGCGCGACCAAAGTGAGAAGCAGAGGAGCGGGGGAGTACTGTTGCCAGATCCTCCGAGCTATCAAAGACCGAACGTGATCCTCCGCCAACCACCGGGGCTCAATTGATAACAGGCAGGCATTTCCTTTTTCTCTTGTGTATAAGCTATGGAGGACAACTTGGCTTTGTATCCTGATATGATTTATGGCGACACATTAAGGGTTGGTGTAATTTTGAGAAAGAGTGTAAAACTTTATGAAAGTGGCCTGTATAACCACTGAACATTAAGGAGATTAAACAAGACTGAGTATTTATTGAGACAGCTTTATACTATTTTTTGTGACCAACATTTTGTTAATTTTTCAAGCCATCTTCACAAGATGACAACCATATAGAAACTAATCATACAAATGGAAATATAGAAAAAGGTATAAGTGAAATGAGCTCCTATCCCCTGATCCCACCTCTCTGGCCTTTCCACAAATATAATATACTGCAGTTTGTCTTATATTCATTTGAGTAGTTATTTTGTATATTTATATTTGGTAAGTATTTGTCTTAATTCTCTTTAATGATGAATAGTTGTTTGAATATATTTTATTATTTATAATTGTTATATTTTTTATCTTTCCTTACAACTTAGAGTATTTCCTTATGCTGTGTTTACGTTTGCACCACCATACACCAAATCAAATTCCTTGCGTGTGTAAACATATCTGGCAATAAAATGGATTCTAAATCTGATTAAAGATGTTTGCAATCATAAAGTTGATCCATTTACACATATTTTAAAAATAACTCCTAAACTTGTTTACATACTGCATATATATATATATATATATATTATATTATACAGGAATAATACAACTAGGCAGCTGCTCCTCAAGGGAGATGGATTGCCTTACCAATGCCACACCTAACTGTTGCTAAAACAACAATAGGAAGTGCAGTGAAGGTCGGGGAGGAGCGATACAGTAACATCACATTTGCTGTGTTTACTGGAGAGTCAGGAGTGTGCCTAAACACAGGAACACACAGAGCAGAGCAGCTGTATGGCTTTGGCTCACAGGAACATCAGCTGGCCTGAACAGCACGTCTCTCTCGCTCTGCCGACAGAAACCCAGGTGCACAGGCTAAACACAACAATAAGACCAAGTCATCACCTGTCAGAACGTCACCTGTTTGCACACTGGAGTTGAATGGCACACTCAAACATCCGCATGGGTGGGGGTGAGGGTGGTGCTCTGATGAGTGCCAAGTCTGCTCAAAAGAGCACGAGAGCTCTCAAAGCCCCTCTTCAACACCAACTGTGAACCGTCTCTGATCAAGAACTTGACAAACAAGCAGCCAAAGATTTACATAGATTAAGCTTTCCTCAGAAGTCAATTCAATGCTTCTGGCAGACACTCGGAACAATTTGATGTCAAATGAAAGAAATGGAACAAAACAGACGAGCCACGCAACCTGACTAGTCACAACACAAAAAAACGCTGGCATTAAGGTCACTCTGAGCTGTCTTTCAGGAGCAGTGGGACTGTTCTGTCTCAGAAATGTTTCTGATGTCTCTGGAGTCAAACGAATAGTCTTGGAGCTATGTGAGCAATGCTTTGATTTTACACTGCTACCCCTGAAGAACCTGTTAAACACCTCCAAAGTACTTATTAAACTGTTAGCAACAGTTAAACGCTTTGAAACACGAAAAAGGTCAAAAATGTAGAAGAGACGTAATGATGAAAGGCAAGTAAGGGAAGAGATGACGAAGCAGGAAGATGAATACCACAAAAAAGCTAAAATCTTCTTCACCTGTGCACCTTACAGTTAACCCCTTATGCTAAAAGCATAAAGATGAAATGACCTAGACAAGACCATATGGTTGTAAAATAAACCTTCCGGTCATTATTCAGAAATAAGCCTAGAAACTGGATGTGGGCGTCAAAGCTTTAGAAATAACAGCACTGACAACATCTCCATCACTTCATTTCTGTCACAGAGAGCTTAGCAATATTTGGTTCACACTATGTGCGGTGGAGGTGAAAGATAAAAACAGGAGACGTGTGTCTGTGTCTGGAATGCTGCATGCAGACAGCTGGCAGATGTTTTTCGGGGTTCCTCGC